ATCATAGTAGGAACTATTCTATGATACTTAACTAAGAGGTTGAAAAAAAAAACCTATTATAGCAAGCATGTTACGTGTTTAGTACCTACACTACTTACTTTTTGTAAAAGTGTGGGATATTTGTGAAGCGGACGTTGCAAACAACGCCAGAGTCCAGGTTTACGACTGAAAATTCAGCTTAAAGTTCCAAAAACAAAGTCATAGATATTAAAGGAGAAGTTAGTTTTACTCAGCACTTCGAATGTACGTTTTTATTTATAGATTTGTTGTTTTAAAAACGCATTTATGTCTTAAAACTTTTTACAACTACCTTCTTTTCTCTCCAATCGTTTTCAATCACAAATTCTATCACTCAAACCGACCGAATGACTATTTATTTCGATTTAATAAACCTTAAGTAATTCATCTACGGAACTACAAAACTGTTTAAAACACAGCAAATGGAAAAGAGAACTCTAAAAACGAAATGAAAATGAAGAGAATGCGATTGCGCGATGCAGTGGGGACCGGGTTATGCCTACACAATCTATAGGTACCTATAGGCACACATATTTGCGTATACCTACATAGGTACTTCGTAGTATAAAATGGCGGACATGTCACGCGGTGAACTCGCCGACCTCCCCGGGCAAAATACCACGTAAACGATGCTTTAAATATTCTATGTGCGAATACTCAGCTGGACAAAGAAAGCTGTCGAATGGACTACCTAACTAATGAAATAGTTTTAAATCCAACGCGTGTTTTGTTTTAGTATTTAAAGGAGTAGGTATGAAAGAATGAAAATAGAAGCGACCAAGCGCGTCTCGCGTGGGTGCCTGTCCAAGTAGTATCTACATACCATAATTTTTGCGTTCCTACCGTTCATCGTGCTCCTCAAAGAGCAAAAGACCACTGGGCTAAACGCAATGACGTACTGGTTTGGAAGAGTAGAGTAGTAGTAAATGTGTGATCCAGAAAAACTGACTTAAAACCACCCGGTTCTTTCTCCTCCACCGGGCCGGGCCCCGCAACCGCTTTCAGGTAACCTGGCGGTGAATTTTCCTTACAAGATCTGTCAATTACGGTAAAATCATCCTTCATTTAATTAGTTTAACTTAAATTTTAGAATCTAGGCAAAAAATTACCTTTCTGGTTCCTTAGGCAGAGAGAAAAACGATATAGTAGGCTTGCTGACATTCGTGTTGAGACATTCCAGCACGGAACAGATTTTTTTCGCCATTTTTAATGTTACAACTAACCGGACCACCTTACATACCCGAGATCCGCACACAACTGGTTCGCCCCGCTAAATTCCTTGTAAACGGCGACTTGCATATGTGTGCGTTAGAATTTAAAGGCAGTGCAGAGATATGTTTCTTGTTTCATGTGGTGACTGTATGTCGGTTGAGTATTTCCAAGTATGACTTCCGAGCACGATGTCACAGGATCAAAGCTAAAGGACAGTGTGTTCAAATTCGATATTTTAGTTAAGGACACTGTCAAGACGTGCTTTCATTTGAAAACGCAATGAGGTTAGAACAGTTTCTTTAAGTAAAAAAATTTTTTTTCATATTCCAATTATGTCTACAAATTATCTTATATTATTGTGTATGCCATATTATTAGTACTAGTAAGTACGTCAAGTACCTATACATAAAGATAGGTCCGTATGTAACTCTACCAACCCATTGACTTTATTATTGCAGATCCATTTTCATATATTTCGTTAGGTACCCGCATTTTTATAGGTATATTTGCAACACTAAAAAGGGTACATACTTTTTCGTAACTGCCCAAGTAACATTTTTTTCGGGCTTAGGTTGTAAAAAATGCCTTTAGGTTTAATTGGGGTCGTAAAAAGGTTAATGCTTTGCTATCTGGTCATGTTGAGTAATTGAGAATGATTAATAAGTCCTAAAACTAATTGTTTATTAAGACAACCTTAAAGCCACTGATAAGAGTTTAAATTAACGTTATTTTAACTTGTATTTCAAGAGCATTTAGTCCTAGGATCTTATAGTTGTAGTAGACTCCTGATTTAGTTTTAGAAAAGCTAGCATTATGCTAAAGTGAGAGCTTAAGGTTAAATGTTTAACTTTGATATAACCATAATGTTATGGAATGTTGAAATCACTTATAAGTAATTTTTAATACCTATCTTAAACCTTTAGGCTGTATGAGAGTTGTCTAGGCAAACAAATTAGGACTGCGTGGTGAAAACCAAAATCATTAAGTCACTGGCTATGAGCTAAACGCATGATTTAAACCCTTCAAGAACATTTTAAAGCTTTATAGGCATCCTCATAAAAATTCAGTTGTCTCTGCAACTTCAAAGCATTACGTTGTGTAGCAAGATGAACCGACACAGGGTGATATCAAAAAGACGAAGTGGACATTTTAAACGTAAAGTGAATAAAAATTTCTTGCGCATAATGAATACATCGGTAAGTTTTTATTCTTTTAAAATCTTTTATTTAATCATCTTCCTTCATTATACCTTTGGGTATCAAATGAAATGGTTTTCTGAGAAGAATACAAAAATACATTAACGTGACTCTAAATTCAATATGGTAGACCCATATATTTGTATTATATATATTGACTTGGGTACTATAGCTACTAGGTAATATTAAAAAATATATAGTAAAAAAAAATTAAAACAAGCTTTTATTGAAATGTTATCAAAAGAAATAAATTTAAATCAATCCAAACCATTATTTATAAAAAACTTACTTTCACTAAGGTAGGTATTGAAGTAACTGATAAAGATTACTTAGGGCTCTTACAGGTTGGCGACCGTCCGCAATCGCTATCGGCAACCATTGGGTGACAAATCTGTAAAAGCCCTTATTTTATCATTACCTAATACCTAACATGGGGTCTTGTGGATTGAAACTAGGCTGTTCGGATATTTGGTTTTAACTATTTTTACAGATTATTGACACCGTTGGAGATACACAACCTCCTGAAATCCCTTCAGTTTCAACCGAAGATCACACATCATCGTCTGAAGTATTTGAGGAATCACAAAACAGTAAACCAGATAATTGCGATGATGGCGGTTCATCTGAAGATTATGATGACTTTGAAGCTCATGCATTATACACAAGTGTTGATACAGCAAAGGACTTGAGAATGTGGTCTTTAAAACACAAAATTAAACATGTTGCTCTGAAAGATCTTTTAGGCATATTGAATAAACGAACTATCCTAAGACTCCCTAAGGACCCTAGATCCTTACTACATACTCCCAGTGGTGATTTACATATAAAAAATATTAAAGGCGGCCAGTACTGGCACTATGGATTTGAAGTATGTATTCGAGATTTTTTTCATGATGTTAAAGATGATGAAGAAATTTATATTAAGATAAACATTGATGGATTACCCGTATTCAATTCTTCAAAAAACGAATTTTGGCCAATCATTTTTACAATTGAAAATTTGAATCCCAAACCAATGATTATTGGTATTTACTACGGAAAAGGAAAACCACAAGACCTCGGCGAATTCTTGTCACCCTTAGTTGCAGAATTTAACACAATTTTAAAACAGGGCATTAAAATTGGTGATTATACTATAGGGGTGACATTAAAATGTTTTGTATGTGATTCCCCAGCAAGGTCATTCATCAAGGGTAAGAATACCAAATTTTTAATATGAATTATTTTTGTTTTTGTTAATAATTCAGGTTACAAACTTATAAAATGTATGTATACCATCATATTTTTTTCTTGCAGGAGTAGCAAACTTCAATTCCCAACATGGTTGTCATAAATGCTCTATAGAAGGAGAATATTCGCACCTGTCCCACACTAATTACTATCCAAACAAAATCTACCCAAAAAGGACTAACGATACTTTTCGCAATAAAGAAGATGAATATCATCACAAGATAGATTCCCCTCTTTTAAAACTTCCGATCAATATGATTGACGCCTTTCCAGTAGCAGACTCCTTGCATTTAATAGATTTGGGCATAGTAAAAAGACTTCTTACTGGATGGCGTGATGGATATTTTAAAAATAAGATGTTGAAATGGCCAAGTAAAACAACTGAAGAATTGTCTTCAAAAATGCAATCCATAAAATTGCCTAAAGAGCTACATAGAAATATAAGAGGTTTAGATTGCTTATCATTCTGGAAAGCATTGGAATACAGAAATTTTATTCTATATTATGGCATTGTTGTATTGAAAGGGGTGCTACGAATTGACGTGTATGAACATTTCCTGATTTTGTTTTGTGCAGTTACAATCTGTTCGACAGATAATTACAAAAGATTTTATGACGCAGCAACTAAACTTCTGAATCACTTTGTACATCAATATTGCAAAATATATGGTGAACACTATCTTACAAGTAACGTCCATAACTTGATCCATTTAACAGAAGATGTCAAAAATTTGGGGAATCTAACAAAATTCAGCGCCTACCCTTTCGAGTCGAAATTGTATGAAATCAAAAATATGTTGCGTAGCGGTAACAAACCTCTAGCTCAAATAGCAAACAGGCTATTAGAGATTCAAAAAGCTCAGTATGATTGGCAAAAAGATGTGAAAAGTGATACTTATCCAAAGTTGAAATACGTCACCAGTAATTCCTATCTTAGTCATGTGGTTAAAGATAATTCAACGCCTATTTACAAAATGCTGATATTAAAGGATGTTTGTTTTGGTGGAAAAGAAGAAAATTGTTGGATTCTTACAAAAAATAATCGTGTTGTTCGAGTGAATGACTTTTGTAAACTTGACAAAGAATTTATTTTTAGTGGAAAAGAGATGAAACATTGCTCGGACTTTTTTAGAACACCAATTGATTCGACTAAACTAAACATTTACAGTGTCAATATATCTACTGTGCATTCAAATGATTTAATGTCTTCCGAAACTACCTTTGAATTGTCAGATATAAAATGCAAAATGGTCAGGGTTTTATGCAATGATAATATTGTATTTATTCCACTACTACATACTTTAAACCAAGAATAATACATTCATTTAAAAGTATTCTCATAATCTTTTTATTCATTATTACTATAACCCTTAACAATCAGTTTAACTTAACAAATAAAATCAGTCTCTTTATCTTATAAACAATCTTAGGGTTTTTAATAATTTGCAATCAGTTTCAGTAGGTAATTTTATACTAGGTACCAACCTAAAGTTAGGTATAAGCTCTAACACAAAAGTTAAACAAAAATAAAAAAGTTTTTATATAGTCTCATTAAAAATAAGCTTTCACAAACAAAACAAAAATAACCGTCCCGGTAGATATTAAATGTGACTGATTAACAGCTGCTCATCAACATTGACTGAATGCTGTTCAACCTCTACATCTGCAGCGCACTCTATGTTTGATTCTGCAGCATCACTGAGTGATTTTGAATTAGTAGTTCTCTTTTTACGATTTGTTGGTGTACTAACTGACACAGGTTTTAAAGTCGCCTGAAAACGTTGTCTTGAATTTTTTATTATTGCCTTCATAAAATTGTCAGTCTCTAATTGACTTATAGTTGAATCAGCATTGTGTATTACTGAAAAAAACATCTGACGAGTCTGTGTGAAGAACTTAAAAGCAATTTTTTCATTTTGATCTCCAGAATTGCCACTCCATGAAACCAAAGTTAAGAGTTCCCTGGTAAAGAAATAATCTATTACTTTGTAGCAAATGTTGGTCCCTTTTGCTCCTAAGCCGGGAGAGCATAAAGTTGACATAATTTTATAATATTTGCTTCTAAATTCTGGATCCTTTAAATTATCTTCCAACTGAAACAGCTCTTCTACTGTTTTTATAGGAGGAAAACGTTCTTCTACAGAGCTCTCGCAGTTGGTTCTCGTCATTGTAGTAACGCTACAATCTGCCATTTTATTTAACAATTCTATAAATTGTACTTCATGTCTAGCAAGTTGTTGCAAGATTCTTTTTTGAGTATTTTGAACATCTTGAAGTATTTCCATTATCTTTGCTTGATTTTTTATCACTTCTTCGTTGTCATTTTTGAGCAAAAATGAAGCGTTCACATCAGTGAGGGAAATGCGGTCCGCCTGAAAAATATAAACAATGTTAGCAGGTTGTTGAAAGGCCGGCCTGTGACTCCTCTGGTGTTGCAGGTGTCCATGGGCGGCGCTGATCGCTTACCATCAGGTAATCCGTCTACTCGTTTGCCTCATATTCAATAAAAAAAAGAATGGCACACTTATACCTATAAGCACTATTAATTATTTAAAGCGCCCTTTTTATAGGCATCAAGATATTAATCAAGAAATGCAACATACGCCATATAAAAATTATTGTAAATTTCATAAAATCTTACCATCGCATTGTCACTTATGGTCACAGTAATTGGTGACACTACAGCTGTTGAATCCCCATCAACTTCCATTAAGTGGTTCAAATCTAAAACAGCATCATTTTCTTGTGGGAGTGGAATGACTCTGGTGGGGACTTCCTCATCCGTGTCAGTCACATTTTCCATAGCTTTGACAGCGAGACCAGCCGCCTTATATGTGTTGCATATTCTTTTAACGATACATGGAAAGGTGGACCAATTCTTCCCAGGGACAGAGTTTTCATCTAACATGCTGCTAGCTTCTGATCTTGGAGGCCAAGACAGGGTCCCCTCTTTCTCCCAGTTGTTTGGTACAACAGAAAGGCATATTTTTCCATTCTCTATCGTTTGGACGACCTTGTAAGGCATACTGAAAACAAAACGTTACATTAATGAAAGTAAGTAAGATTAAGCTTAAAGGGACGAAAGGGATATTGTGATTGCTTATGTTGTATTATATTATACTACCTGGCAGGGCGAACATCTTACCGCCTCTTACCCTACCTTACCCTACACCACACCACACTACACTACACTACCAGACCCAACCCTACGCTACGCTACTCTATCCTGCCCTAACCTACACCCCTCTACCCTACTTCCTTCTACAACTTCTACGAATATTTCAAGACCAAAATTAGACAAATCGGTTCAGCCATTCTCGAGTTTTAAGCAGACTGCAGACTAACGAACATTAACATATAGATAAGTAAATACCTATTATATAGTTTATAACACGGATTTTCTCTAAACAAGTAAGAAGTAAAAATCACGAAACTTCTTGCTTATGTAAAACATCGTTCGTTCAATAACTATTTAAGTAAATGTATTAATTACACTACGCAATGACATTAAAAGTAAAATGGTAAAAATAAGTAACATTTAAACAACATTCGATTTTCAAAAACGCGCTTGTAACCTATCTACACCTTTTACTTATAATAACATTGACTCTACGTTAAATTATTAAATAAAGAGTTGGTATCTTCAAGTCACCATGTCATAATTATGTAAAATGAGTGTAAATAGCCACACATTATACGTTATAGGTAGTCGCTTAGTTGCCATCCTATTCTTATCTTAAGAATAGTTGCTATTTTGATGGAAAAGCTTTCGGGTGTAGGTACTGGTACTTATTACATATGATATATACTCACTCTAATATTTTACAATATTTACTCTACACTCACAAGCTTAGACACAATGACAAGCGCCAAATGACGACGTAATTCGTCATTTAAGTAAACATACATAATACGTACATACAATGAGGCGTCGCCCTAATTGGGAGCGATCGTACGAATGGCGCGATGCGATTTTCATCGCACGATCAAAGTGGTCGTACGATGACCTAATAGGTGTCCTAATAGATCGCGCGATGTATATCGTGCGATGCCGTCGTATGATGGCTGGCGTCACATTAATGAGTCGAGTTTTTCGGGCAATATTGCTTTAAAAAATGCAATTGACATTGAAAAAAAGGAAACGTAGACAACATAAAATACTTTGCAGATCCAGGTATCTGCGCTGTGAATTTTTCAGCCTTTATTTTGATGTACGAAATAACGAAGAAGACTTTCACGGTTCATTGTCCATGTCAAAAGAAACATTTAACTACATCTGCGCCCGTCGCGCGTGGACATCGCGTATGCAAACGCGTATGGACACTCAATATAAATCTGTTGTCGCATGATCAAACGCATCGTAAGATCGTTTTTAAGCATTTAATTATTGCAAGCACGTCGCACGATCACTTGCGCGGTTCAAAAAGGACACTCTGATGAAATTTGTATGTTTGAACTCATCACACGACGAGAAATCATCGCGCCATCGTACGATCGCTCCGAATTAGGACGACGTCTTATATATGTACGTATGTATTATCTAATCATAACAACTTGTCTGTCGAGCGATATCGGGTTACTTTGTTTGTTTATTTAGTGCTTCTCTTGTGTAAAATGCACATTGTTTGTATAAAATACTAAAGTGACTATATTGTTGGTACCTATAGTCTGTACACAGTTATATTATTATAATATACCTCGACTACTGTCAAATAAAGTCGGAAATGTCCGCGGTTGGCATTGCTCTCGTCCGACAATCAACTTCTATTTCAAAACCGAAACCTAATTAGATAGAGCTAGAGGTACCTATATTCTAACTGCGAACTGATTGTGCCTACTTACCTTCACGCGTAATTTTTCTACCTGTCGTGTTCACTATCACCTGATATACTGTTACGGAACAGAAAACGGATCGATCTAAATCAGCAATCGCCACGTCTTTACTTCGCCGCGGCCGGTTGACTTCTGGCCCTCCCGCCCCGCGACCCCGCGACCCCGCGACCCGCGTGTGCGCTGCTCGAGGCGACAGCAGAGCAGAGATACACAAATACCTACGTAAACACTACAATACCTACTTACTAAGTCTGATTCAAACACTGTTTAGTGCGAGTAGACATACATTGTTAGGCTTGTTGTATAGTATTTACAAAAGTTATTCTATGGTAAGGGTAATAGATAAGTTAAATACTTACTTTTAACTTACCTGCACTTTTAAGAGCAGCCTGTATCTGTCAGTTCCGCACTCTGGTCAAACCGTCAAACGCACGTCCTCCTACAACCAGAAGTTAACAGCAACTAGCTGTGCTCAGCGGTTGTTTTCGCGACTGATAAGTCTTGAACTACTCCTGGCGGTAACCTTAAGACTACGAAAACATCCTTGTAGTTTTAAGTAGCTCCGCACGATTACCTTTAGCTCTTATTTTGGAAAACTTTAAGAACTTTTAGCTGTTATAGTTCTGAATAGGTAATTTTTAATGTTTTTTAGTAATTTTCTAACGCCCGCCATTATTTTTCACTAAAATAAAATAAACTAAGTAAAAAGATACATTTTAATTAATTAGTACAAAATTCAGTAGCGCGTGCTATACTATTCTATATATATATATTTTTTTATAAAAACAGTACTTTTGTTTCTAATTTAACTTTCAACCAAACATAAAATGTTATATATTTTTTTTTATTAAAATATCTTCAAATTTATAAATTACGAAAGGCCCGTCAAGTATACAGCACTATTATCCTAAAGTATCACGATAAAGTGCTCGTCGCAGAATTTTTTTATTTTACTGACTTCAGTATAACTACTTACTTATTATTTATTATCACTTACAAGTTAGCCATTTTGGAAACTTGTAAAGTAACAGGTCATGTCGCCATATTTATTATAATATATATACCATTGATGTTTCTGTCAAAATCATATACAGAAACATTTTAAAACCCGAGGGTCCTGGAAAGGCATTATTCATATCCATCAAATATGTTTCAAGTTATAATGAGAGTTACATCCAGGATTAATTTTAAACTTAAAAGCTGCCTTACAACGCTATATTAACGTTAAATTAAGGTTGTGAAGGTTATATTTAGGTTCTGTGTAATTAGTTCAAAAGGTTCTGGATTTGAGCTATAGGTTTTGCTGTAGATCCCAGAAAAGTTCTAAAACGTGGGCCCTTTTTGCACTCAGAAGGTTAATATAAGGTTAACATAACGTTATTGAGTCTTGTAAGACTTACAAGTAGATTTCCATACAAAGGTTCTAGAACCTTTTCAAAACCTTTCTAAAACCAAAAATGTTACTTGGGTGTGTTAACTGCTTCGTCAGAAACGTTAGCATAAAAATAAATAAATCAGGGATTTATCATTTTTACCGAATTTTTGTAGATTGTGAACACTGTCTTTTTTAGGTGATGGGACGGCTAACGACCAGACTTATTTTTTATGTAATAGGTCGGCAAATGAGCAGACGGATTACCTAATGGTAAGCAATCAGTGCCGCCCATGAACACCCGCAACGGAGGAGTTACGAGTGCTTTTCCGACCTTTTGGGGATTAGAGATTTGGAGATTTAGGGATTGAGGAGGGATTGGGGGTGGGAAAGGATTGGGCCTCCGGTAAGCTCACTCACACGGCAAAACAAAACAGTGTGGTTGTTTCACACCGGTTTTCTGTGAGGCGTGATATAACTCCGGTCGAGCCGACCCATTCATACCGAAGCTTGGCTCTAAAACATCTCTAAGTCGTCTAAAATTAGTAGTTTATTGATTGCTCGAGGACCAACTCTGACGCCAACTTCATGGACAATTTGTGATGGTACCGTAGTCGTATATTACTTATTTATGCTAAAACAAGAAAACTGGTTAAAACCAGTTAGTTATTGTAAAAAGTTTATTTATTCTGTTCATTGAGAGTGAAGGGTAGGTTACTATGTAAGTGGGCAGGTGTTTTTCCTTGGTAATAATTGATTAGCAACAATAAAAATAAACAGTAAGCACAACACAGTACACAGGCCTGCACAGACACGGTGCGGAAACTAAGACTATTTGATAAAATAAATACCTACGCTCCGTGAAATAGGGTTGTCACTTTCAATAAATGTTTAAGACATTTTTTTTACGACCACATTCTTTATTTGCAGGAGTAGAAGTAAAACCATAAACTAAAGTAATTTATTATGTATTTTAATTTACGAATAAGTATACAGCTTCCTCAATTAGTAGGCATTTAAAAAAATGACACCTCTAAATCTAATGACGCGGTGTTCAAGCACAGTATAAATATGGAACAGTAAGGTATCTAAGCCTATTTGACCGTTTAACTACCTACCAGTCATTAAAGTGCTAGGGTTGTCACTTCTAATGCTATTAATACTGTTTGTTTTTCTGAAAAAAAAATGTGTTTTGTTGTAATCAATCAATCGAATTGAAATAAATAGTTTACAAATAAAATTTAAATATGTAGGTAATCTAATGGTGTCGCGTATGTTAACCTCAAAAAATGTTAGTTTAAATAAATGTTAAGATATAAGCGCTATACTATATAGCTCTGTCTTTTACCCAAACTAGAATAAGAATAAAACAATCTTACTCTGAACATGCTAACCCCCCTAGGCTCATGAGAGGTGGTTTTCAGGTATTTGCCACACATTTTTGGTTTGATCGGTTCCGCGTTCAGCCGCCATCTTGGATTTAAATTTGGACAGCACCAAAGAGTAAAGTAATATAGAGGGAACATAGACAGCACTATCGAATTTACCCACCCCGAAATCTATGAAAACGATACTCGTGATAAAAAAGTTGATAATATAGTGCAACCGAACCTAAAATTTTATTCGAGTAGGTACAATATTATTATAATAAATCATCCTTACCTTTCACAATCAGCAGGAAGTTTAAAATATGATAGATTTGGTTTTGACGAAACTGAGTTCAAGCAGCCGTATACTGAGCAATACACACGAGGCATTTTTAAAAAGATCGCGTAAATAAACTTAAAATTGACCACTCGTCTTGACACGGCACCCGATACTGACTGCACTTCGAGGTTCACTTAGAGCTCTCGTAAATGCGCATGTTTGTGTGAGTGCACCATTTCAAGCGTTTCTAGGCAGTTACCTTACTGTTTTCTATTTATGTATACTGTAGTTCAAGCAGCCGAATACAGCTCAAAACAGACCCGGCATTTTTAAAATAATAAACAAGATCGCGAAACGACGCGATACGCGTTACATAGCGTCCGCCTAGTCCGCTTATTCGGCTCGTCGGTGAGCGTGTCTACGTGTGTGTGCGTATTCAAGCGCTTCTACACTGTTTACTAAATATGTTCAACGTGCAGTAAGTGTTGCGGAGCGGACGGCACGCCGGGCCCGGTTGCGGAGCGGCAACGTCGCACGATCGATCGACGGCGCGCTAAGGCCAACAGGAGTTTCCCCGTACGTGAAATACACTCCGAGTTTCTTTACAATCAGACTTCTTTCGTTGAGTGTTACGTAAATACTTACTTATTTGCAGAGAAAACATTTCGCAGAAATTCTGGGCAAGTTCAAAGTTAGTTAAAGAACATTTAATTGAATAGACGCGAAGAGAAATAAGACCTTTATTTATAGCCAAAAGAAATACCTCAAGTAGGGATCAAATGTGTAGGTATGTAGGGTGGGTATTTGTTACTCACCAAGTAATTATTAGTTACTGATGTTAAGTACCTACTTGATACTTGTTTCAGTAGGTAGGTAGGTACCTACTATTTAATTATTTCTCATTTATTTTCATTATTGCAATTCTGTTAGGGATAAGTACTTGGGAGTATATAATATCAGTTTTTTAATCCTAACTGGAGAGAGCCAACACTATGCTCATCTAGGCGAGGTCCACTTTCCACTCCAGAACACATTTACCTCAATGATCATCGATTCTCCACAAAAAATTATCGGTCCACTGCTAGTATTCTGCCGTCTAATCCTAAATCCTCAGGGCTATCTTGACGCATTTGATGCTCTGTCGCATCATCTCGTTTTGAATTCGATCCTTGAGAGAGATATCGAGTGTAGTCCTGTCTATAGGTCTGGTGTGTCTGTCTAGTAAATTGGTGCACCAATAGCACTGTCTGCTGCGAATTTCACTATCGGAAGATACATTTGTCTAATAAATGTTCGTCTCCAAGGTAAGTTCTACTTCTACCTACGTGAGACGAAGAGCAACCAACTTCCTATCTACATTCCAAAACGAAATACTTGTTATTATAAGTGTATTATTTACCTTTAGAAGAAAGATTCTAAATAGTTCTTTGTATTTTGGTCTCAATTGTGAATGTTACAATATTCACCGTATCGAAGTTAAAATAAGCTTCGGAGGAAATTGCAAAATGTTGCGCGTCGAAATATTAAAATAACACGCAGAGCAAAAATGGCGAACATAACAACTCTATAATGTACAAACGACGTCGAAGAAATCCGTCATTCATTATTCTGTCGTAGATAAATAACTCGCCTACGGTATAGACGGTTCATTCAATTACTAGCTGCGAAAAAATAAGTCGTTATCAAGAAAATGTCGGATATTTAGGCGCATGAATTGCCAAGCTGGAATTTTTCCTGGCAACAATGTTGTAAAGGTAGGTGAAGCGTGAAGGTCACGCAGTGCGGGTATAAAAGTCAGCTATTCTGTATGTTTACTTTGGTTACTAAATTATCTCGAATTTAATGTGTAACAAAGTCAACTCCAAGTGGAGTCCGTTACAGACTTACAGATCAGGAAAACCAGCACAAAAAGTTTGTTAGCATAAAAAACCAAATAGTTCATTTTATAGAGGTAATGTCACGACCTCTACGAGAGGAGACTAGTCACAAGAAGATCAATAAACGTGCATAAAGTACCTACATTACAACAAGGACAAAGCGTTTCGTTCCCTTCTCTACCTGCAAAGGACAGAATGCCTATAAAGTGTTAGTCACAACGC